AGTCGCGTTTTAAACCATATTCCTTTTTTTTTTTCCATACATCGGCTGTCGCTTTCCACACTTGAAAAACGCACCTATGCAAATCCATTAACGTCTCTTCATACTCCGAGATTGTTCAGAGCGATACGCGCGTCCGTTATATCGATATACGTTTGGCTGAAGAGAAAAGAAAATAAAAGCATGCTCGAGAAACTCTAGGTTCAACGGTACGCTCGAGTTAGAATGGAAAATAGATTATATTACGATTATATTACTGGCTAAATACTGACTAAAAACTTCCTAATAACTAAATATATACTAAAAATTCCTTATATAAATTGTCCGAAAAAATAATTTAAATACTAAAAATATATTTAAAAACTTTTAAGCTTCAAACAAATTATTTCATAAAAACATAAAAACACAAAACCCAAATTAAATAAAAAGAATATTAAAATTAGAAAAAATTTATTATCTTAAATGTTAAGATATTATGTAACTTGTTAAAGAAATTGTTAGACGTGACGTCAGCAGAAATAAAGTACAACTTCGTTGATTGTATCATTGATTTTACACATCTATCAAGTTTCGTCAAACTCAATACGGAACACTTAACAAGGATTCGTTTGAAAGAAAGAATAGCGAATTGATTTAAATTTCTCGAACTAAATGTCAAGCTCAATTTCATTCGTAATGTCAAACTACGAACAGTGACAATGTCATATCAATCTCATATAGGAGAAAGAAGTATGTAATACTTTCTCCCACTGAGAATGTATCTATCTATATATCTACTTATCTACTCATTGTCAGATATAATCTATCGCACAAATCTCCGACTCGAAATCATCAATATTTTATCTCATACGTCTGTAAAGGAATGTAACGTGCCATTGAATGCCTTGTTCGCTATGAATGCGTATATATACATTACGTTAGTATACATTAGCAAAAATTGAATAGGATACGTCTTATATCAGACAAATATCGAGTAGTATCGATATATGACGAAATATCCAAAATCGATATTGAAGACTCGGACTATTCGAAGAAAAGAGACGCACGTCTGGAACCGGATAAACTCGATATCAGATATAAAGTCTCTATTTACCAGAGTAATATTTATTTGTCCGGATGACGGTACACCGGGTATCCTTCCCGGTTTATCGGATCATTCGATACGTGTCCGAGATCGAATAATTGTTCCAAGAATAAATTGCGATAGTATTGTTCCTTCCTATGCGAGACAATTGCGTAGATAATCTTAACATATTAGTGCGCTAAATCTACGATATGAGATAAAGTGCAGAAGAAATTTGTGAAGTTAGCACGATATTTTATTAATATAAAAGAATAACGACAGTTTCCATAGAGCACTTTTCATATAGTTTTACAGTTCCTTACAAAAACAAAAGAAAGTTTCGCTTATATTAAAAAATAAAAAATAAAAATAGCGCGTGCTAACTTTGCGAATATAGTACGACACTTCCTCCTCTAAAGTACAAGAAGAATTATTACTTCTAGCAAGTTCCCGTTTATATAACTCAAATTCTACCAATATATGTATATATAATTTGGAAAAAAAATCCAATAATTATCATAAGCACATATTTAAAAAATTATCAAAGATTTCTTAGATATAATAAGTTTAATGTAAAGAAAAATAAGCTTAGAATGTTAAGTTTTAGTAATAATTGTGAAAATTATTACAATTAATACTGATTATTAAATGTAATTTTTAAATCCAATATCTTACTTTAATATTACAGAAAAGTAATGAAAAAAATACTGAATCGTTAGTTTCTAAATAACGGCAATAATAATGCGTTATTTTTCGAAATTAACAACAGGTAACGATAGCTTTTTATAAAACTTTTTATAAGACTCTTTATAAAAAGTAACGGTTATGGTAACGCGTTACTTTCATGAAGTAACGTTTCCGTATATTATACTTTTATAATTTTGTTAATATCGCTAGATATTCGTTGACATATTTGCTAAATTTTTGAAGATCAAAATAGTACTCACTTTCGACCGCTGTCGAGAAATCTGTCGAATTCCACCGACATCTTGCAACAAAGGGCCCGCCGATTGTGTGAGGATGAACACTTAGTGTTGATCATGTGGCCATCTGAAAGCAAAGGAAGGGAGCTGAATGTAGGGTGGGCGTGCAATTAATTAAGAGGTTAATAATCATCCTCGTGAGCTGCTGCTACGGCGGTCTAATTAATTCGGGCTGATGGTTCTCGCTTCTTCAGGAGCGAGAACCATCCTTTCGAGAAGAGGCTGTATCACGATCGATGATATGCACACGGGGTATCCTTTATACCAAACTATCAAATCGGAAATAATTTATTAATCCGCGCGTACTCGAAGAATTATTTTAAATTAAACTATAATGAAAGTAAAAAGAAAAAGAAATTCGAAGTAAAAATTCATCACCATAATCGTATTTATTATTAGCTCCGTGCTTCAGTCGTAATGTGACTGACTTGTAACAATAACAACGTTCAATAACAAGCTTTGAGTCATTGGCACGTTGCAACGTATTAACTATATTTATAATTTAAAATAATATTATATGTATAATAAATCACAACAATTACTATTCTTTTCAATTATTGTAAAACATAATAATTAATTTTATTATAATAAAATTACAAATATATATCGAAGTAAAGTAGTAAATATATACTTTGTTTCTTAGTAGAAACAATTTGCATAATAAGCAAGCGAATGCTGTGTAATTAATAACCTATTAAATTAATTCTTACATAACCGGTATTTTTTGTGGTGTCATTACATGAGATCTCCCGCGCAAGATTGTCGGCATCCACACCTGGATAAATCCCAAAGGATGGATCGAGTTCGAGTCAGGTAGAAATGGTAATGAGAAATGGCCGATGCGAAGGTGCAAACCGGTGCAGAGCGCGTGGTGAGGTCAAATGTCGGACGGTGCCCGAGGGTTCGCGTGCTCATCCCTCCTCCTGCGACCTTCCGCACCCGATATTATCCTCCTCGGGACCCGTGTCCACCCACGCTTCTGCCTCCGCTCGTGACTAATGCGTGGCTCGAGTTATGAGCAAAGCATGAAATAATATCGAGTTTATTATAGGAACGCCTGCGTGTGCGTTACAGTAATCCGCGCGACTTCGTCTTTTGTTACACAAGAATATCCTACGACTGCGACGTGCATTCGATACTTTCATTTAAATGAATCCTCAATATCATTTCATCTCGCGTGCGAAAGTCTCGTAATTGCGATGCTTTCCCTTTACAATTTCTTTCCTTCGTTTCCTTTCTTGTACTCGGACGCGAGAACAGTGTCATTGTCCAGATGACCGAAATAACGAGAACTTGCTTTTCACCTCGTCCACTTGTGAGTATCATTCACATACGCGGTGCATCGTTCCGTCCTTCCTTAGCCATTTCTCATCATCCGCTTTCTCCGCCTGCTCGTCTTCTACATCCGCGCCCGAGGGTGCAATTGGGATGTACTCCATAGTAGGTTGGCAATGATATCGCCGGTCAGAATACGCCCTTGTTATTATAAGCTAACTTACATAGCAACTAAAGCAAACGATAAACGCGTTTATGTTACAAAAAGAACATGAAAATTTGCTTCAGTAATAATAAAATCTTGATGTGATCGTTTATTTTAGAAATGGCTACATTAAATTTCAGTAATTCTTATGAAATTTTATGTATAACGGAATTAAATACGAAGGAAAATATCTGTCATAATTACGTTTAAATAAATTTTAATAAGTTACGTTTAAATAAATTTTGAAAGGAAAAATATTCCTATGGAAATTAATTAAAAACGAGTGTACTTCTATTTCTTAATGCATAAATAATAAATTTTCAAAAAAGGAACATTTAACAAAGATTACAAATATAAACTACAATTAATTTTAGTGAATAATTGTTTGTAGTTAATTTTAATCTATTTTAATAGTTAATAAAGTTAAGTAATTTATTTATATATTAATCTAATTATAAACATCGAATATTTGTTCCAAGAACCTGATGACGAAGCTCTAACTTTTCACGTATAAAGAGATTATCGACGCGATTGATTGATCTATCGATCATTGCATCTCGTGCAGCGCAGAGTTGCGTGCAGAGTTTGCAAACCGGTCGGTCTAACATGTACCTATGTAGAATATTGTGGAACTTATCGAACAGCTCGCACACGTGCCCTCTGTCTCTTTCGACACATCGATTTCTCTTTATTGGACACCCGGTGTCTCGATCAGTAAGTAATTATCCAAGACTGATGTGTTAACATATTCGCATCGCAATAATTAATAAAACGATAAGATTTTCAAATAAAAGAATATCTTTAAGTGAAAACAAGATCAATTCGTACATAACGAAATAATTTTATGTTTCTCATTTAAAAATACAGCAAGCTTATTACATGTATTACATAAAACAATTCAGAACGTTGCGAAAATAAAAATACATTGAAGTTAATACATCGCATTAATTTGGTTAAAATATTATCATAAATTTAAAGAAAGGTAAAAAAATATACATTAACAGGATTTAGCAAATTTCTTATAATATACAAATTTTTAAAAATTTATAAAATTAATTTAGCTTTTATCTAGTTTGCTTAAAACATTTATTTTCTTCAAAAAGAGAATAGATTGTGTCTCGTATTAGATGATGAAATAGTAAAACAAATAGAAATCGTGTTACACTTTTTCGTTATTTCACCGCTCTCGATTTGGAGGTGTTCCAAGCAAATAAACCGCACTTTAATTCGACTTTCTGAACGGACGACGACCGAGGCGCGGATATGACTAAACTTTCGAAATGATTGACGAGCAACTCGGCTCCTAGTGGAGTAGTAGAGTGAACGAAACAAGCTCCTGCACACGCGTTCATTTCGCCAGCAATTATCGCATAAATGAGGACGACCATTAAGCCCGCCGTCGTAATTACCCACGTCTTGTCTTACACAAGGAATATACGTATTTCGCTTGAATTTTTTAATAGAGCCATTTGTTGAGGAAAATGTTACGTTCTCGTATATCGACAGGTGTTCTCAGAACCTTGAGATGATCAACGTGACAATATTCACCATTATTGCTCGTGTAAATTTTTCTTTATAAAAAAACTGCAGTCGGTGAAGCGGTATAATGATATTTGGAAATACGAGACTATTCCATATTAATCGCATTGCAACCAAGGATGGCAAAAAAAATCGAAATAAATCGGAATAAATTCTTTATGCGTGGAAAAAATAATGGCGATATTATCTCTAAAAGGCAATGAAAATATACAAGAGAAGAGAAGAAAGCGTTATATTGAACTTAATATAAACGCAATCTCGATTCGTTGGGCGATAATGCTACAATTGAAAAATATGTGTAATAGTTATTATTCTACGTTACTGTCGGTATCAAATGTGTATTTTGCTTTAATAAGATTTCTCCTATAATTTTATATCGTGTTCTGCAAATGTGGCAGACAACTTTATACGTGAAATACAATATAATTATTTAATTATATAATTATAATTATATGTTATATAAATAATTAAAAAATAATTATATTATTTCAATTACTCATATAACACGTAATTAATTCTAAATCGATCTCTGGTATCATCTTATGCATTTTATCATTTATACTGTAAATCCTAACAAAAACAAAAATCAAATTATATCATAGCAAATTAAAAGCGTCATTACATAACACAAGCAAATCTTTCATTTCTTTAATTAACAATTAATTTATTATTTCATATCTTGATTGTTTAATTTATTATTGAAATATTAACCTATATAAATTAAATGTATTAAATTTCTCTTATTCAATTTTTTAACAAGATTAAAAGTCAGGTCATAAAAAATTGAAATAGAGCAGTGCACAACTGAATAATAGTAGATACGAATAATTGAATAATTGAAAAACTCATTTGTAATTATAATAATACAAAATTAATTTAATAAAAAAATTATTAATAAATACTCACTGGTTTGGTTTTGGAAATAAGGGTCATCTCTATCGGTGAAGAACCAGGTCTGCAAATAGAAATAAAAAAAAATCGTCATATTTTGATTATATATAAACATATATACGCGAACCTTTTTCGATTATACCCGATGCGGCGGAATAATCATGCTATAGCACGTACGCATTTGATTGTTTACCGCAGACCGTCCAGCCAAACAACACGCATCACGTATCGATCATAAATTTCAATTCCTTTCTTATCCCTTCGAAACGAAATCGCTCCATCCGCGTCAGTGTGTGTTACATGTAATAAATCTTACAACCTTGAAGCACTTCGCACCACTATGATACACTTCTCTTATTTATATTCGCGAGATAACGAAATCACAAATTCCGAAAACAAAAATAGGAGATAAAAACAAGAAAAATATTATTGTACGTTTTTTTATAAATATACGTGCAGTATCGCAAGACCGATATTTCTGTTATTTAAAAATCACAAAAAAAAAAAGAGCAACCATAATTCCAACTCGTGCTGTCACATATAGAATATTATTTCCGCAAAATGTTATTTAAAATATAATTATCAACATTTTCCAATAACATTCCATAATAATTAATGATATACAATGCATATATGTATCTTATAAATTGAAATGGAAGAAGCTAAATATATATACAAGTATATTATATATACTATCAGAATATATTCCTTTTTGCTCCAATCTCTGTTTAAAGTGAAAATCTCTACAGTGTATAGTCACACGAAATTGTGATAAAGTGGCATACTTTCAATTAAGGACTATTCAAGTTTCTCGTGTATTTTGTCGCGCTGGAAAATTTATCACGGATCGCTGTGAGTTGAGACTTGAACTTCTCATTTGTATCTGTCGCATCGCACACCCTTCCGTGGCAGTTGCATCTGGACTCGGACGTATTGCAGCGTCGTTACGTTACGATCAGTGTACACTGCACGTGTTAAAGTAGTCGCTTATTTTTAGTTCCCAAGAGTAGTTCCCTTCAGGAAGTGAACGAGCAAGAACGATCGAAGGAGATGGTACTCCAGACGTCAGAAGCATTGTCCCGATGATTTTCACGCGGCGATATATCGCGTAAGCCACCGGGAAAAATACGTAAGAAAAAGGAAAAACATCGCGAGAAAACGCGATGTATTATTTATGGTGATGTTTGGCGTGATTTTATATTCGCAACCTTCCTCTATTAAAATGATAAATTAAGCAAATTATCTCTCTCCACGAACGCAACTTGTCAGAGAATTTCAATGCAATTACAGCACAATACATCCATGAATTTTATATCAGCCGATATTAGCTCATTTAATGCACATTGCACATGCCAATATATTCGTTCGCGTTCTGTTTTCGTTAATTAAACTAGAATTAAATCGCTTATTTTGAACACGCTACATAATGCATTACATAAATAATGCGTAATTTAATCAATGGCACAGTTTCTGAGAGCATAATATTTAATCGGATGCATGTGTATCGGGATTATGTAAGCTTTAAAGCAGAATTGAATAAACTGCAGTTGCCTCAATAAGAGTTCACCGAGATATCTCGGATGTATAGCTATAGCGGATATCCGCGGTACAACGTGACGAACGTAAAAATAGCGCGGGTGAAAAAAGGCATTGCAATTGCAACACGTTTATTCGAGGCATGCGGATAGAGCGAGAGAGAGAGAGAGAGAGAGAGAGAGAGAGAGAGAGAGAGAGAGAGAGAGAGAAAGGCCAGAGAACTCGTCAGCATTCCCAGAAAGAACACGAATATCCGGCAACGAATGAACGTCGTGTACAAAAATAAGAGACGAGTGTAACGCGATGACGTCAGTGGCACCGGCGTCGCGTTACATCGACATAATTGCATTAATCCCGCACGTACGTCGTACTTAAAAGACTCGTCGTTAAGCTGATCTTCGAGCTTTTCCCGGGAATTCATTGAGTCGGCCGCCCGAGTGTTGGTTATTCTGCTCGTAAGCCGTATCGCAATATAGAACGTTTGCGAATGTGTCAAAAGCGTAGAATCATATTAAAAGACTCGCTCGTTAATACGTCTAATTAGGCGAGACAAATTTGTCCTAAAATGTGCATGAAAGGAAATTTAACGATTGCGTTCTACCTACATGAAACAAACATTGTCTCCTATCAATTTTCGGAGCACAAAAAGAAATTTTTATAAAGTTCTCTATTTTTAAAATATTTATTAAAAAGTAAATTTTACGATTAAGATAAATAACAGCTTGATCATTTTGACAATGATAAAACGCAATGATATAACTTCTGGTTCAGATGGTTCAGGATAAAATTTCATGGTGTTTAAAAAAATTTAATTATTAGATAGACTATTAGCATATCAAATGAGTTATATGCTAAAATCGTTTCTACACTGAGAAAAAAAATGCTGAATCACAAAAATATTAGTTGATTCAACTAAGTGCAGCGATCACGGGCTATCAAGCACAAATATTTATTAATCCAAACAAATAACATATTTTAAATCATAAATTTTGTTAATGACTAACGTATATTTAAGCTAAATTTATAAATACTTGAATTAAATAATCACTACCAACTAAACGTATTTAATCAAGTTTTTTTCTCAGTGACAGATAAATAAGCAAAAAGTAAATAAGATAAATTTGAAATAAGTGCGTTCATCCAACGCTACAAATACATACATACATTTTTACTCTTTCAAAATTAGGTCTTCCAAAATTAGATCTTTCAAAATTTTAATCTTTTAAAAATATAATTCACAATAAAAATGGCAAATTTTTAATATTTTTATATCTAATTCTTTTGGACATAAGTTCTATATAATTGAAAATCAATGGAAATTGGATAAATATCATTCGGTAATGGCACGTTGATTATATCGTATTGGGGGTCAATTGAAAATCGCAACCCTACCTACGCAGTACATAAAGAGCAATGAAAATTAAGAGGAAATATTTCGTTGAAGCACAGTGAGCTCTCATCGGCGCGCCGCGCGAAATTGCATCGGACCTTTTAAGACTTGCTTAAATAACCAAAGTAATCGACCAATTATCCGAAGCCAAATCCAATCGGCGATATGAGTCGGCCTTCGTCGATTGGGGGATTGCAGTATCGTCCAAGTCATTCTAAGTAACGACACTAGACTTTGACCCGCGATCGACCCTCGAGATCTCGAGGGGTTCTTTTTATGAATCACGAAAATTTGTACCTAACCACGTATGTCTACACCTCCACTTAATAACATAATAATCGAACGGCATGACTATCAAATTTAGAGAATGGCGCAAGAAAAGATCTCCTCGAATTTTGGGTCCCAATAAGGGTTACAAAGTTTGTAAAAAAAAGTTTTAAAAAAAGTATCCTCGCTAAGCATAGAATTACCGAAATTTGATTGAGGGAAGTGCTTTTTATGAATCACTCTTTTGGATTGTAATTAAGTAACGAAAGTTTATTCATTTTGCCATAATATACTTTTTATTTTCATTGCATCTTAACAGAATTTTAATTTGACATTTCGTTCACTGTTAAATTTATGTATAAATTTAACAGTGAACGAAATACATACTAAAAGATAAAATTTTAACAACACTGTTAAATCTATAATATCAAATTTAATTTAATTTAAGTCATCACTGCTCCTTCTCAATATACATATCATTATTTTATACTAAAACAATAATTAAATTTGACACTATAGATTTATGTTGTTAAAATATTTAATAATAGATATTGGAAAATCGTAACAAAAAATCATATTTCCAAGAATATATTGCTAAAAAAAAAGAACAAATTATTATTATTAGAATTAAAACTATAAAAATTTTGAGATATTGGGACAGTATAAAAAATATCCACAGATATGCATTATGCGTTGGCATACTATCTTTACTGCCATTCACATAATCGAAATTTTATGATAACGAAATATAAATCTCGATTATTTTTGCAACGGATGTTTGGAAAACAACTTAAACGAATTAGTATTAACTACTTGATCTTATTATATGCCGCGTAAATTATTGACCACATAAGAACGAAAAAAGAAATAGGTAGCAAAGTATATAAATGTAGCCATTAAAGGTCATTAACAGCATCGTAAGGTGGTGGCCAAGAGAAAAAGGGCGAACATAGGGATTGCGCCAATAATAAATGCGCAATCAATGTTCCTCCTCAGTGGAGCGCATTATTAAAACACATTACCCGTGATATACGACGTATTAATAATCAAAACATTGCGACCTATTGCTCACCTCTATCCAATTTAAAAGAGAAACTTAACACCTTAACAGCGAACTGCTACATACAATACTTTCTAGTCCTGTTTCTCTTTTTTAAAACCCATAAAGATATTTAAGACTTCAGAAAAGAGTCTTAATATATATGTACATGTGAAAATATATACACTAAAAGATAAAATGTTCTTCTATTGGAATTGTTAGATACAAAATATCATAAAAAATTATTAACTATTATATTACAAATTATATAAATAATTTTTATTTAACTCTAATTTTTTCTTTAATAAGCTTTTTTTATATACAGATAACCGTAACGTTATTAGTCGCAATTAGTTGTGTAATATTTGTAAGTTTTGCAAAATAATTCTTTAAAAATTGTTTAAATATTCATAAATATACCTGTAGATAATTTAAATGCATATAATTGATATATTTTATTAAAAAGTGAATATGTTACATTTTGCATTTCACGATTTCAGTTGAAGGAGTCTAAAGTACCAATTTTTTTTCTGTAATATTAATTTTCAAAGTTCTTAAGGGGGGACCCCACCCCTGAGATTTCAAAAAATCGAAATTTTTTTTATTGCTTTAATCATTAGTTTGAACCTTTAAGAAATACAAGAAAAAATATAAATAACTTTATGGAGCAGGTATCGCAGATTAATAAGATAGAAATTCTTGCTGTGACACAGCTGTGTAATGTTCCAAAATTTTAAACGCGTTTTTCCCAAAACGCATTTTTCCGAGACGGTGTCACATGATAACTCAAAAAGTTTTCATCCGATTGACTTAAAGTTTTAACTGAATATTCTTAGCAATTCTCCATCGTCTGACGTAGGATTTTTGCAAAATATTTTGTAATTTTTTTTTAATCGATAATTAAAAAAATGTATAAATGATATATACAAAATATATTAACATAAAACTGTTTTGCAAAAATTAAATAAATTCTGCGAATGTCTTAAAAAATCGATCTACATTTTCAAGACTTATTGCTCCGCAAATAATTTTGAATCTTAGACTATGACTAAGTTTCTACCAGAGTCTATTACCTTCACCACGATAAATCACCTGCCGTAAATTGGATTGTGAATTTCTAATCTCGCCAGGAAAGAAAATAAGTCTTCTAGCCGCTGAAAATTATTGATTTATATGTTTTTCATTCGATAAAATTCTTCATTTATTTTGGATATTTTTTTATTAAAACGCGCGTTTATAAATTATAAATGTGTAATAATTATAAATCAACTCTCTTTTACAAATATAACATTTTATTAATTATGAGATTAAGCTATGAATAAAAAAAACTGCTAAAGTTGATACTCTTCTTTACATCATAAGTGTCCTTTTATTATGCAATTATATCGTTTTTATAAGATATCATGTACTGATTGAATGTATTGGATTTCTGCAACAATGCGTGAGAATCAATAACATCCTCGATCTCACACACGCAAAGAAAAGAACAATCATTTCAACCAACTTGTAGGATCGTGGCGCATCGTTTAATTATCGAGAAAGAAACCACGAAAAAGGTGAGTTCGTTGAGAGTGCTCGTGGGTGGACTAAGTCGGCTAACGCGGAGGTCGTCAGAGTCAGAGGTAAATCGTGAGATCTTCCCACGAACCACAAACCGTATGCAGCCGGACACAGACTTTTATTATTCTCATCGTACTTTTTCTCGCTCGCGTCGCGGAAAATGCGTGCCGACGCGAGTCACAGGCAACGCGAGTGTACGCGTGGAAAAAGCGTGAGATCGACGAGAGCAAAGAATAATCAGGGTACGAAGCAAATTAAGACACCGTGGCGTGTCATGAGAATTACAAATGCTTTCGTTGAGGACATACAACTCAAATGACCTTTATAATTGTTCAGTTATACTTTCACATAAATTCAAATTTTACTGTTATTATTGATAATGACTTCATGATAGATCGAAACGTTTGTGTTTTTAGATTTTTCAAGTAATTTATTTTTTGGCTCGTAGCTTTTTAGATATACTTTGATTTTTAAACAATTGAACCATTTCTTTATATTTCAATTCAAATGATTTTATAATTTACCTACTTTAATTTACTTTTATTTTGAGAAATAATCGACATATAAATTCTTATCAATCTTCCTAATTTATCTTGAAAATCTGATTATTCAAACATTCGAATTTTCGTTATATAAAATTGTGCTCTTATATTTATGATGCATTAAATTTTAATATTTGACAATCATTAATATAATATTGTTAATTATATGTATATGTGTAATATATTATTATTATATAAATATTATGTA